GGCAAAAAAAAAAAAAAACTAATGTCTTTTATCTTAATAGGCATTACAAACGGCACATAAAGGTTAGGATAATGTTTTTCGGTTAAAAAGAATGATGGATATCGAAACCCCCACAACATGACACATCAACACTTACCTTCTGTACCCCACTTTCCAGGAATCTTAGGCAGTTTGATATGCACCTCATACATTATCGTAAATACGATAAGGGTTAATAGTATCTTTGGACCCAACATTGGATTTTACACCATTTTAGGTATTGAATCACGAAGATTCAAAAATCACCAATAATTTTTAGGTCACAGTGTCTCTCTTGTTTTTCACTATTCCATCCTGTTTTACATTATCTTCCTTTTTTTCAACTTTATTTTTTTATCATGTCTTTTGTGATTCTGAACCTACATCACTTCTTATGTTGACAATATTAGGCCATATTTCTCAAGTAAAACCTTATATATAACATATAATAGTCAATCATCTAACGAACCACTAAAATGGATAGTTCTTGAGATTCAAATAACTACACTACCGTTTTAAGTGTGGAATTTTCAAGAGGTTCGGAAACTTTAAAGTTCTTGCAAGAAGCTCCATTACCATTTTATGTGAGTGCTGCATGATGATGATTGGCGTAGAGCTTTCTGCCTGACTATGCATCCACGTGTCGCATTCGTATTCATATTCATTCATCCTCTAAAACAAATCACTCCAGTGATATATATTATGTGAAGAAGCCACTCAATATTGAGATAGATGGAGACAAGTACCAGCAAAATCCTATCTTTGCTAAAAATACATATTTTATTGTCACCATATCCCATCGCGATAATATACATATATAGTGTGTATCAGTATCACACGTATATTATATAACTACTTAAAATTAATAAATATTTCATCTAAACGAATATGGTGTCACCGTGTTTATCTGATTTCTCTGTACAAAATCAATGGGTATTTAACTAATTCTTCTTTTCTGGATGATTGCATAACTAGTTATTGAGGATGAATCATTACGTTTTAGTTTTACTAATTAATTCGAAGGGAAAAATATTTTAGTAAAAAAAAAAGGAAAAAAAAAGTACAATGATTGTAACAAATCGATAGAAAATTGTTTGCACATGGACACAACACCGCATTGCTTCCCTGACAGGTAAAGGGACCAGACAATCTCCCAAACTGTGGGACACATGACTCTTTCTTACATTTTAGTTTTCCTAATTGAATTGCAAAATATTGTAATGTTTTTCTTGCAAATGATAAGTAATATATATGTTGCCAAGGTTCAACTATAGAATTCATGACACAACATAAAGATATAG